TCTGATAACCACACCACCACATAAGAGGCAGCTGGTTGTCACACTCAGTTTCTTACTCATTAGAGTACAAGACAACAGAAAGAAGTGGCTAAGGACTTGGCAGGTATGGTTCACACATTCCTGGCCATTCATACTCCAGACTCCATACAAGGCTCCATGCTTTACCAGATTCTTGGCTGAAAGGATGCATGCCTCAAGACATGCAAGCAAAATTATCTGCCAGGCACAGCACCCACAGAAATACAATGCTATTCAGTTTTAGTACAGAATTTGCTATAGGAGATAGCATTATAGAGTTTCCAGAACAGAAAAGACATCATGAGGTTCACACTTAACACCAGTACCATACAGTGATAAAAAAAAATTGGTGAATGGATTGGAAAATTTAAAGCTGTCCAGGAACAGAAAGAGTTACAGGCTTTTCAAACAACCACTCATACAGATCTTTCTGACTGAAACACTATAATTATGGCTGATTTTCATTACAGTTGTTCACTTCTGGGACAACACTGAGCTCAAGGAAACACAGTATTCATTCATAGGGTGACAATTCTTCATGTGGGCACTGCTGCTTAACAAAATATGGCTAATCCTGGCAGTATCAATGTAATTTAGAACTTAATTCCTTACTGTTTAAAATGTATGCATAAAAAAAAACCCTGACTAAGGAGACTGCCAGTGTGATCAACCTTGGTTCTTACCACTCCTTCTACAGAGCTGAAGTGTTAACTCTGCATTGCCAAGAAGCCTGAAGCTTAAAGCTATCCTTTGCTACCCAGCAAAACACATTGCATGTTCCAGTCTTTTCCTGATTAGAAATACTTTGCTGTTAGCTGGCAGTGTTGCTCTAACTCTGATGACTAAGAATATAAAAATGACACTGTCTGTAAAGTGAGGTGTTACCTGTTATATTTGGAATAAGACATTTTGGGGTGGGGAATAAAAACTTGTTTACAAGGTTTTTTTTCTGTCACAGCACAACAGAGAGAAGCTAGCCATCTTGCTGATCATCTTAAACTCCCAATTATCACTCATCTGTGCACTTTCACTGGAAACCAGAAACCGTAGAGTCAAGAAGTCTTTATAGTCAAGCACAAACAGCAGACATCAAGGTAAGTACATGTTGGGAATGACTGTTCTGGGTGTAACCTAAATTAGTATTCAAACACAGGAAGTCTGCTGATCAAGTATGTCAACTAGGAAAAATGACAGCCTGTGGAACAACAATGCGTTAATAGTTGATGAGATATATAGAAAACTAGTGGTCATAAAACTTTTACTGAACAAATAGCAACTCCACAGCTTTCAATACTGAGTGGAATTGGCACTTCTGGTTCCTAGGTTTGCCTTTGTAGGTCTTTCCTGAGGATCAGGTTTCAGACATGAAAAAAAGTTTTCCTTGTTCCAGCTGAGTGTTTCTGGTTGTTATTGATAGTCCTTGTGAGTTAACCCTGCCCTGGAGCTGTTGAATAAAGAGTTCTTGTTCCAACTGGGTGTTTCTCTTTCTTTATTGATCATTATCTTTGTGGGTTAACCCTGCTTTGGAGCTGTTGTTTAGTTTCACCTGCACCATCTCCACAAAGACATTTCAACATCTCATGGACAAAATGGATCTGAGATGCTTCTGTTTAAAACCCATGGATTTTGACAATTCCACTGTGGGACTTTAATACTTGTGTGAATGTCCTAGAAGTTATACACCTACCTCACCTACACCTACCTGATAAAGGACAGCCTTTGCCAATCAAAGACATTCCTCTAAGAGGTCAGATTGTACCTCTGAGTGAACTGCCTGAATGTCAGGGCCACGAGTGCACTAGTAAGCCTTACAAGGTTATAATAAGCCTTGACCAACCTCCATCCACATGCCCTCTGCTCATTCATCCAGGAGTGCTGCTTCAGCTCTGGCCTGAGCCTCAAGTCTGCCTGAGCTGCATCATAGCTGTGCCTGTCCTCAGCTGCCCTGATTTAGTGACTGCTTTTCCTGGAGGGACTCCAGACTGACAATCCTGTCTGATACCCTGTCCCCTGGACTGACACTGGATCTATACTATAACCTTGTTTGTGAGCCATCTCCTGCTGTTCCCTCCCAGCTGGACTCCCTGGATGAGGCTCATCACCTTGACTTGGCCAAGCCTGCCAGTGGACCCTGCCACTCTCACTGCCCTGCTCACATCCTGTGGGACTGTGCCTTGGTTGGTGACCTCCTGTGGCCACTCTCAGCACCCAGCTCATCTGCACTGTAGGGTAGCCCCATTCTTGCTGCTGACACTGGATATTGTGCCTAAAATTAGGACAGAATTTCCACCTCACCAATCCTATTTTCATGTGGGAATCCATATGAGAAATCATTCAGTATGCCATGTACCAAAAGGAGACGATAACTTCCTTGACATTTTCCCAGAATGCTTCCTTCTTGGCATATAAACAACTTCCAGCCCCCTCCAGACACACTGTCAGAAATTTGCTTTCCACAGAACAATAAATACCAGATCAAACAAGATCATGCCAAAGCAATCAACACAAGACCTTCCAACACCTCTGCCTTTACACAGGAAAGAGCCTTGCAACACAGCCTAGTTCCTGCTAACTTACCACTTCTGCTGTAGTTATGTCGCTATGTCCCACAAGGCTATGACTTCTCTTTGTTCCATGTATCTTAGCTACTCTTTTCCAGCAGATACAAGTTGGGCAACGTCAATTAGGCTGCTCCAAATTAAAATTGCTTCCAGTGTGTTCTAAGCCTGACATTCACTGGAGTTCTGCAAGAGCATTCGTATCTTTATCTTCTACATATACATTAGTTTAATAAAAATTATTAGAATCATAGAATAGTTAGGGTTGGAAAGGACCTTAAGATCATCTAGTTCCAACCCCCTGCCATGGGCAGGGACACCTCACACTAAACCATGTCACTGAAGGCTCTGTCCAACCTGGCCTTGAACACCGCCAGGGATGGAGTGTTCAGAGCTTCCTTGGGCAACCCAGTCCAGTGCCTCACCACCCTTACAGTAAAGAACTTCCTCCTTATATCCAATCTAAACTTCCAAAGTTTTAACCCTTTACCCCTTGTCCTATCACTATAGGCCCTATTCTTTCTATGAGCTTTGCCTCAGTAATCAGAGGTCTTTTATACTTAGCTGCATATGGGTTACTAGTATTTCTAAGCTTTACTGCAGTTAAGCTAGCTGCAGATACTACTCCTACTGTGCTCATAAAGAAAAGCTTTGGAAGATGATCTCAAAAAATTCACAGGAAAAAAATGCATGTTAGTCTTCAGGTACCTCAGTCATGAGAACCACACAGGAAACAATGCAGAACAAAGGTGCAGGAGAATGCTGGAAGTATAACACACACAGCTATTTTCACCAAATGAAAACTATGGGACCTATGTAGGCTAGAATTATTTAAAGCAAACAAAACAAAATCTTCATTCAACATTTTAGTTTAGCACTGGCTTGCTGACACTTACAGGGCAAATGCCTGTATAATTCTGTCATTAAGGAAGGGAACCAGATTTCACACAGTACCCAAGTAGTTTCACAGCCTGCCTGTGTGCTCCCAGGCCAGTCACTTTCTATTGCTGGCTCAGATGCATCACTTGACATGGAAACATCACTGTGCTGCAACAAACACAAATGTAGTAACATGTGGCAAATATTCTACCGCATTTTTGGTGATGATCACCCTTACAGTTATCCAAGTTACAAGTGGTTTTTTTTTTCTAATTTATTAGAAAGCAATATTTAGCAGTACGTAATTTTCCTTCCTTTTAAAAATAACCTGCAAGTTTGATTTTACTCTTAGGAACATATTAATAAATTCCCTTTCAAAGATGAATTTCTAGTATCAACTCTCTCTTAGATGGACACAAGAATTGAACATGGCTGCTACTTTTCACTTTTTCTTACTGCCTTTGTGGTTGGTTTCAGAATTTTCTAAGCACATAGTGAAATTTCAGAATACCTCTACTGCATTAGCTCTGGTGATTTAGCAGCATAAAACCCAACCAGAGAGTGTCTGAAAATTGGCACCACTTAAACAGGCTGTGACCACAGAATCATAGAACCGTAACTAGGTTGGAAAAGATCATCAAGTCCAACGGTTACCCCAGGACTGCAAAGTCCACCACTAAACCATGTCACTATCGGCCTCATCTACATGGTTTTTGAACAGCTCCAGGGACGGTGACTTCAATACTTTGCTGAGCAGCCTGTTTCAGTCACCCTTTCAGTGAAAAGAATTTTCCTAATATCCAATCTAAAGCACCCCTGGTGCAGCTTGAGGCCGTTACCTCCTGTCCTATCACTTGTTACTTGGGAGAAGAGACTGACCCCACCTCACTACAACCTCCTTTCAGGCAGTTGTAGAGAGCTGTAAGGTCAGCCCTGAGCCTTCTTTTCTCCAGACTAAACAACCCAAGCTTTCTTAGCTGTTCCTCAAAGGACTTGTGCTCCAGACCCTTCTGGAGCAATCAACAAAGCAAACAACCAGTTTTGTTTCTCTTCTTTGGACATGCTCCAGCACCTCAAAGTCTTTCTCGTAGTGAGGGACTCAGAAACAAACACAGGATTGAAGGTGCAGCCTCAACGATGCTCCAGTACAGGAGGATGGTCACTGCCCTGACCCTGCTGGCTACGCTGTTGCTAATACAAGCCAGGATGCCGTTGGCCTTCGTTAACACCCGGGCACAAGCTGGCTCATGTTAGGGGGCCGCCAGTCAGCACCTCCTTTTCCTCTGGGCAGCTTTCCAGCAGCTCTTCCCCTAGCCTGTAGCGTTGCGTGGGGTTGTGTGAGCTAGAAGGGACCGGCTCACACCAACAAGGTGAGCACTATTTGCAAGCCGCACTCCTGCTGCTCCCCTTGCGCCCGCTGGCACTCGCGGTGCCCGAGCACCTCCTCCAGCACTACCTGGTCTCTCCTTGCGGTACCACAACACGCCACCGGCCCGCCTGCTGTAAAACCGGCGGGACGATGAAGGGGGCGGACCTCGGCGGGACGTCCCCGTGGAGGGGCGGGCTGAGGTCGCGGCCTGCGTTGGGAAGGCGGCACCGCGCGGCTCAGCCTTCCGCTTCTCTCCGCTGTACCGGCCGGGGCAGGTGGCGCCCCGCGTGTTCCGCTGGTCCCGCGGATCCTCGGTGGCCATGCGGCTCCTCACCGGCGCTTCCAGCGCAGTGCCGACGGCAGCACTACTGCTGCTGCTGCTGCTGGCTCCCGGTTCCCGTGAGTAGCGGCCGCGGCTGGACGGGCGAGCGGGCGGCGACAGCGCTGCTTCTCTCTGGTAGCCGTGCGGACCCAGGCCTTGCAGTGCAGCCGGGAGCGGGGCCGGGAGTGCGGGTGCGCCCTCGCTCCCCGACGAGTGCCCCTTGGCTCGGGTTTCTAGCTGCAAGCTTGCGGGGTTGCCGGTTCCTTCTTCCCACCGGCACTTAAGAGCCGGGAGCGCACCGTGCGCCGGGCCGTGCCGTGCCGGGACCATAGCGAGAGTCTCGGCACTCGGGATGGGTTTGAAGTGCAAACCGTAACTGAAGAGCACAGAGAGAGGGATGGGTGGGGTGTGGGGGTTCGCACACAGCGGGGGATTCACAAACACGCCCGACCCTGCCCGCTCGCGGATCCCATCTCCTTGCTCCCCTGCGACTGCGAGCCTGAGCTCGGAGGCGGGGCGAGCGGGAGATGTTCCCTAGAGCCCGCAGGTGACGGGGCCTGCCCGTGGTGGTGTCCGGATAAGCGGGTCTTTGGAGAGCCGAAGAAGCTGCGGTGCCCTAGGCCGGGCTGGGAGGAAATGCTTCCCTTGCGTGTTGTCGCTGTTCCCCGAGGCACGCTGTCGCTGTCATTGTGGCCCGTGGGTTTTTGCAGCTTCGGGGATGTGGTGGTTTTGCTGCTGGGGCAGATGGTGTGTTTTGTTGTGCTTCTGCCGGACGCTTGCAGCGATGCCTCTTTCAACGGCAGATTCTAGTCAATGCAAAGCCTCCTGTTTTCTTGTGCGTTAACTCGGGTGGTAGGACACCAGATTCGGGGGATAACGATCGCCATTCATTCAAATAAAATGAGAGACAGAAAAGTCTGAGCTCCTAGAACTGCCTTTTCAGAAGACTGAAATGCCCCATAATTTCCCAAAGAAGCCAAAAGATAGGTACAATAATTAACTTGCCATATATAATGTTGAGGATTATCAGTCAGTCCAGCAGTGTTAATATGTTGTCTAGTCTAAATTATAGATCGATATTAAAAAAGTAAAATGAGGGACATGTACAGCTTTATAATTGCCCTAACAACAAAAAAAAAAAAAAAAGAGAAAGCCCCAAGCCAAGCTGTTTTTTAAGAAGTTTATCAGTATCCTGTTTACTGCTTTGCCTTTTGGATCTTATGGCCTTCATTTCACACAGTAGACTGTCATTTAATTTCATGTAAGATTGGCCTGATTTTCTATCATGCTGCTTCCTGAGTGCATGTGCTGGTTTAACTGAGCAGTTAGTGCCGTCTCCTGGGGCAGAGATGATCTCATCTGACTTTTGATGGTCAAATATAGTCTTTCCTTTATATGTGAATTTCTGGTATAGACCCTGTTTATAATGTATGGAGAGCTGTGCCCTTTTAAGGTTCAGTCTAGTGTGTCTATTGAAGTATCCTTTTTTTCTGCACACTTAATCAGAAACTTCCAGAAGCGGCTGCTGAGATTTGTGTTGATCTCAGCAAAAGCTATGATTCGCTAATGAACACACAAGAGAAAGTGTGAAACGCATCAAATACCACAATTCGCAAAAAGTGAAAGTGGCAGTAAGTTTGCTCTTACTCCCAGTAGATTTCTCCTTACTCCAGTTAATTTTTTGGGGCAAGCTGGTTTTTTCAATTTAATTTTGTTCTTTTACTCTGCTGGACAGTTTATTTCAGTATGTCGGTAAAGTCAGTAGAAGAAAGCTCACCAAAATGTTACGGTTTAGGAAAAATCCTTCCCACTATTATGTAAAGTCCAGCTGGCTTCCTGATATCTTAGCGAATAAGAAGAATCATGCTCCCTGGCAGAAAGGTGCTCCCATCCTCTTCCTGTTCAGACCAGATAGCTAGCAACGTCTTCCAAGAGCTTACCTGTATACAAAACGACTTGCAGTACAAAAAAGCAACAGCAGCCTCCAGACCTGAAAACAGGCATAGCATCTCCTTACTTCTCTTAGATTCAACTTCTTTTAGAAACAACAGCAAAAGATGTTCTTTTTCATTCTCAAATTGACCAGCGCTGAGGATTGGTTAGCTTCATTTATGCTTTTCCTTAAGCATCTATGCAATGGTGTTTACACTTCATTTTGCAAGACTGTGAGATAGTTTCGCAATGTTAAGGCATGTCTGTAAAGTTGCTGGGGTAATCCTGCCTGACCTTTGTCTCAGGATGACCTACTTTTTTGGTAAGTGAAGAATGCCACTTCAAATAGGTACCAAAAGGCCTTCTTGTGTCAAAGGGAAAAGAAATAAAGTTTCCAGATAGCAGGGATTTGATTTAAAATTTGTTAAAATTGCATGGCAGATGTTACAGGAGACTTGGGGTCCTGGGTTGTTTCTGTTTTAATCTCCAGAATTTGAGTTTCATTCATTTCAGCTGAGAAGAACGAGTATCCTGATGGTGGAGACTCTGTAGGCCAGAGTTATACTGAAGTTGCTGCTCTTACCATCTCTGCTTTAGCCATTGCAGCACCTCAACTGTTACTCATTTAAATTGCTTTGAGGTTGGTGTCCCAGTCTGAGATCTTCCTGATGGACTGTGCATTGTCAGTGCCTCTGTACTTTCTGGTTTTTAAACCAACAAAACTGTAATGACTTGATCATAAACCTCTCTTACTTACCAGCAATGTATCAAACTTGAGAAGATACAAAGGCAAAATTTTATGTATGACTTTTGAAATGTCCGCAAAATGAACCTGTAAAGTTGTGCTTAGCAAAAATGTGAGTTTATGTATTAATGTCTTTCTGTAAAGAGGTTCAGTTAAGACTAGACATAAAGCTTACAAGTCCTTACAGATACGTTTCTTTGTAAATCTTATTTGTCAAGATAAATATGTTTATCTTAAATAACTTTGCAGGAGTGGGTAAATTGACCCTTGTCAAATGCAGGAAATTGAATGAGTAGTAACCACCCATCTGTGGATGCTTCTTCTACCAGACTTCATCTACAGAGAACAGTAATTTTGTATTTGCCTGAGCTGGAAACCGCAGGTTCCTAACATTAAAGGTTCATGGGTGTTACCCACTGTGTTGATCTTGTCATGATCTGCCGAAATCAAGTCCATTTAAAATCTTGTTGTGTTCATTTTCAGTAAGTACCGGCGCTATCCCTGTCACCCTGCAGCTGAAAGAAGGCAGATTCAGATGGGGTATTAGGAAGTTCTTTACTGTGAGGATAGTGAGACACTTGCACAGGTTTCCCAAATAAGTTGTGGCTGCCTTTTCCCTGGCAGTGTTCAAGGCCAGGTTGGATAGGGCTTTGAGCAACCTGGTCTAGTGGAAGGTGTGCCTTTGGCAGAGTTTGGAACTGGATGATCTCTAAGGTCCCTCCCAACCCAAACCACTCTGTGATTCTGTGTGTTTAGCACAAACTTGGATCTTCAGCTCCTGTCTGACTGCCGCTTCTGGAAGCTGAATTCCAGCTATAAAGCTAGAAAAACTGTCCTAATTTTGCCCTTTTGAAAGTTTGCTTATCCGGATTGTCTCCAACTTCTGTCATCTTATGCAGTAGAGCAACAAAACTGCGAGGGGCCCCGCAGGCACTCGGTGTACCAGACTGTGCATTAGTGTTTCACAGGAAGCACACTTGCCTTCAGATACACCCCAGCCAGCCACAAGCAGTTATATTTTGAGCTGCAGCTGCACCTAGCCTTAAACACAGGAAAACAGTTGTTTGACAAAAATGTTGTTGATGCCTTTTCTCTATTCTTTTCCAGTATGTGGTGTGCAGTTTTACTTTGGGTATTTCCTTGGTTCGGTTCTGTTTCAGCATGAAAAATTAACAGGGAGATCCTTCGTTTCTCCTCGCCTTCCTCTTTTCCCTGCATCACAGGGGAAACAAGCATCAGCATGGAGTTTCCCTATCAGGGTTTGTAGAATCAAAACTCACACCTGTATGTGTACACCTCGGTCAGTGCAGAATTCTGGCCTTGGCACTTCTGCTCCCTGGAGAAGGCCAGAAACCCACACTGTTTTGCTTTGGGCCAGGTGCCCTGTGTAGTCTGTGGTCTTGAATGAGTCTCTGGCTCTTGTCAGAGCCATTGCTGTGTAAAAGCTTACACTGCTTTTCCTTTTGCCTTAACCCAGGAGTTCTTCCTGCCTCTCTGGATGAAGTCTCCTACTGTCCCTGCAGTAATACACACTGCTTCAAACCCAAAACCACAGTCTGAGGATAGACAGCAGTTTGGGAATAGTGTCATATAAAGATTTTCTTACTTGTCTTACTCAGTGCCATGTATTGCAGTGTGGCATATTCTTTTGCAGTATCCCATGTTAGTATGTGCTTGTATTTTGGAGCAGCTGCTAGTGATCCAAATTAAGAAACCTGTCAGTGTTCAGGGTTTTTTTGAGGAAGGAAAGAAAAAAAAAGTATCTTTTAAGCTGGATAAAGTCCTTGATGTCTTTTAAGGTGTGCAATCCAAGCTGATCTGAACTAGGACTAATACAGTCCTGTCTTCTCTTCTACCTCTAGTTCTTGCTTCTGTCTGTCATCTAATCATGCAGGGAGCACATTCTGCTGGTTGAGGCAGCAAAAAAACCCATTGTGTGCTGTTGTTGGCGGGGGGGGTAATGTTCTGTTGGCTTAGCTTCCTCAGATCATTGTTTAATGTGGGGTGACTTTCTCTGCAGGATTGGGTCCTTCGTTGGGAAGCTTAGTTTACCTATGTCCCATACTCCTTTTTTTCTTTTTTTTTTTTGTTTGCTTGTTTTGCCTAAGATCCCTAATTAAAAAGTCTGACATATCTTGCAGCGCTGCCCCCAGTCTTCATATTACAGGGGTAAGATACAACGAGTGGTTTGCCATTTGTGTTTGCAAATTTTACATTTCTGAGATCTTAACTAAGGTTTTGGAACCACTAAGAAAATGCCCTATTGCTGTGATACTTAGTTCAGGTTATTCGCTTGCCTTTAGCAGAATATTGTTGTAAGTGATCAAAACTGAACGCTGCTTAGCAAAGGCAGAATCCACACAAGCGATCCTCTTGCATGCGAGTGCCAGACTTTTCTTTTTGTGTCGTTTCTAAATTTTACCACTTGTCTGTAGACCAGGCCTAAGGACAGAGGAACCTTTTAGGGTATGATGATACTTCACTGGAGATGTGATCCTTCTCTATCCCACTTCCCACCTGTCAAATGCTCTGTGGACACATTAGCATGCTGTTAGCCCTAAACTAAGCAATGTAACTTCTGAATGGAGCTTAACTGTTTTACCATGCTGCCCATGTAGGGGCAGAGCAAGTGCCCGTCTGCCTGCAAAGGCCTTGCAGGTTTTATAGGAAGCGATTTACATGGGAAGTTCTTTCTCTTCTGCTGTAGGTAATGTGAGTCATGTTATGACTGAAGGAAGGCCTGATTTTCTGCCTCTTCTTTCAGTCTCCTTTCATCTCAAGGAAGAGAATTTGGGATGGCAATGATGGGGAAGATAAAACTGAGGATGGGAAGGAGTTTCCAGTTCATTTGATGATTGAGTAGTGCAGGTGTCATTTTTAATGTGCTAAGAGCAGGCTGTAGTGGTACCATGCTTTTACATCATCATTATACCTAACTCCTGTCCATAACAGTTTAGTCACTTCTATGCCCAAAGCAGTTGACAGATGCTGTACAAACTTCCTCCCCTCTCCCCCCACTTCTTATTAATAAAGCACCTAAAAATATCTTGTTTTTCTTGGGTTTTATGTAGGAAGTAAAGAGATGATGAATACCAGCAGTACTACACCCTTCACAACGATTCCAGACCCTAAGTTGAAAGGTAATATGCATTTCTGTTGGTGTTCCTCAGTAGCATCAAGAAAAACAGTATGTATTTTGTATACCTTAAACTGCCCTGTAATAGTTTTCCCTTTATTTCATTTTATTGAATTGTGAATAGTTGCAGGGTAGGAGGGAGGTACTCTAATTGCCACATCTATTCCAGGACAACTAAAGATATTTAGGAATAGCAGAACGCAACTTAATCCTCATATACTTAGGTACCCCAGAGCAACAGAGAAAAGAGAAGTGGGAAAATTTGATTTCTAGAACTAGAGAGACCAATTTACAGTTAAAAAGAGAACCACCAGCTCAATAAGTCTGCTAGGCTGGAATTGAGTGCTCTTGAGAAAAAGACAAGGCATTCTTTCATTTTATTTTTAATGTCAGAATGAATTCTAGGTCCACTGTGCTTGAATTCATTGCTAAAGCACACATTTATTTCATAGTGTAGTCTCACTTTGACAGCATTAAGCTGTACACCTTTAAGCATGTACCATGCAAAAGGCATATTCCTTGAGACATTTTTGCCCTGTACTCCTTCACTCATACCACTTGCTGTTGGCCATCAAGTGGAATATATAGCCAGTACTCTGCTCATTGACTCACTCGGTCATGAGTTGATTTCATCGCTGACTCCCAAACTCCACACCCAAATCGCAGGCTTCTTTTCACCTGTATAAGCATGCAGTCCACATCCAGTTGTTTTCCCAGGATTGCAGAAGTAAGCACTCTTAACATGGGGGAAACCCAAAGCTGTGTTCTGGTTACAGTAGTGGGCCAGTATGGGAAAGGTTTAGCCGCAGATATATCCATGGCTTACGTTGTTATAAAAGTCATCACATCCAAGAAAAAAAATGTATTTGTAATTGTACAGTCACAGACTGTTTCTCAAAGGCAGTTTAAATCTGCAACTTAATATTCCAGCTATGTCAGTATGTATCCAAGGGTTGTGTGTGCAGTACGCAATGGTGGGTGTCCTGGATTCAGCAGTAGCAGTCATTTTTTGTCCTTCTTAGTAGCTGGTGCAGTGCTGTGTTTTTGACTTTCAGCCTGGGAACAGCACTGATAACACTGATGTTTTTAGTTACTGCTCAGTAATGTTTACTCTGACCAAGGACTTTCTGAGCCTCATGCTCTGCCAGGGAGGAGGGGAAGCTGAGAGGAAGTAGAGACAGGACACCTGACCGAAACTGACCAAAGAGGTATTCCATACCACAGCATGTCATGCCCAGTATATAAACTGGGGCCAGTTACCCAGAAGGGCGAGATCACTGCTCGTGTCAGGCAGGGGATCGGTTGGCTGGTGGTGAGCGGTTGTATTCTCCTCCCTCGTTATTACCTCATTATTATTGGTGGTAGCAGCAGTGATTTGCGTTATACCTTAGTTACTGGACTCTTCTTATCTCAACCCGGGGGAGTTACATTCTTTTGATTCTCCTCCCCATCCCTCTGGGAGTGGGGGAAGGAAGGGGGGAGTGAGCAAACGGCTGCTTGATACTGAATTACTGGCTGTGCTTAAACCACAACAGTGGGTTATGTCAATGAAAACGCAAAGTGATTCCCTCTGTAATTTCCTCCCTCCTCTTTTTGGTAGGTGATATAAAGATGAAAATTTGTTGCATTTGTTTTTACACCTGAGCTTGTTCAAAACATATATGCAATTGCAAAGAGGGTTGCCAGAACTGGTTGAGACTAGACTTCTCCAGTGGTAAGAACAGCACGTCTGTTAAAAGGAAATAGGCTTCTTGATTTTGGTAGCTGTGTTGCTGTTCTCATCGTCTCTGAGGTCATGCGTTTTATTTTCCAGCTATGCCGGAAAGCAGTAGAGCTGCTGCAAGGCAGATAGCACTAGCAGTGTGGGATGATGCTGTAAAAGATCATTCACTTCAGAGAAAAGAATAATCACAGAATGGGCATAGACAACAGTGCAGAATGAAGGGAGGGAAGTACGGACAGTGGTACTCCCACGAATGGGAGTTACCAGAAAGCTCAGTAGCTCTTTGCCTGGAGGAAGAGACCATTAATCTGTAAGAAACTTGGAAGATGGGTGCAGCAATGAGGACAGAAGTGAGAGGGTGCCTGAGAACCTAGAAGTAGCATGAGTTGCTGAAAAGAAAACTGGTAAAGTAGAAGTGAAAGAAAGGAAGGAAGGACAAAACCATTAAGACTGAACCATGGTTTATATTTTAAGTTTTTGGAAACAGGTACATTCGTAAGACCGTCTTTGTGTAGAAAGAGCTTAATCTTACTGAAAGATGCTTCCTAGGGCATTGGTCTTTCCCTCCCTGACTACTCTGTGCCAGCATGAGACCAGTTTGTAGCAGAGATGGGGAAAAGTGAAAATAAAAAAAAAAAGATTGAGGGACAGGAAGCAGAACTGAAATAGAGGAATAAAAGCTAGGGGGAAAAAAACCCTACAGTGCTTATGTAGGTCAAGAATGTCAGTGACAGTATGGCTGGTAACAGCAACTGGAATAGGACATGGTGTAGACATGGATGAGAGAAAAAAGACAGGATGTAAAGAATTCAGATTTGGGCACTGCTGTACATACACTGTAACAATTTTCTTGCTGCGCTGAGATCTGGAAGCATTTTGCAAAGGAGTAAACCCATCTGGTTTGGGATGGAATACTTTCTGCTCTGCTCACACCTGTAGCCTTCAAACAGAGATAGCCCGACTATTGTGTTGTGGGTACATTAAAATGAAAATTAATAATATTTCTTTTCTTGTTTTGTTTTCCTTGCAGTCAGTAGTAGTTTGCCCTCCAGTCTCACTGTTTCATCATCTACAAAATCAACAACATCTACAGTAGGTATGTATGTGTTCATTTGTGTGTTACTATGAACCTAGAAGCTAGCTGCAAGTATACCCCAGATAACTCCAAATTTGAATGAAATACCCAACAAAAGTGGGTATTTGAGAGAGGCATTATCATTTTAGGGCTAAGAGACAACCTGTAAAACAACTCTGAAATTAAGCTATACTGTTTTTCAGGTTTAGATAACATGCTTCTCCAGTAGGAGCAATGATGTTTCTGGTGCCATTGAAAAACAGTTATCAAAATTAACTTTCAATTCTTCCTTGCAATTTTATGTTAATTTTTTCACTCTAAGTAAATTTCTTCCATTTTCATGCATCAGTTATTGTGCAAACAGTGTGTATCTCTTTAATGTTATTTGACACTGAAGAGATTTAGGGTATAATGAAGTCCTTACTCGTGAGTTTCAAGAGTAAGAGTCCGTTTCCTTTTAGGTAAGACTCATGGCGCCTTATACCATAGAAAATAGTCCTTATAGAGAATAGTCCTTATAGAGCTCATAACACCAAACACTGGAGTTAAGTGAGACACAAGCAGCAGATCTAGGACAATCTGTCATGGGTACTTTTCCCATTGTTCTACGACTGCCCTCTTCCTTCACAACTTGGCAAAAGAACTGTAGGTGAGCATGATTTCCCAAGGCAGCAGTGTTGTATCTGTGATGCTCCCACCTAAGTAATGTGTTTACAAAACACATCTTTGTAGGAAGCTTGAAAGCAGATATTTAACCTGTGACATGAACAGTTCATCCATTTGTATATGCAGTGCTCCAACTGTTGGATATGTCAATATGAGATTATTTTAAAAAGAAATAAAAAAAAAATTCATCTGGGCAAACTTCCACAGGCATATTTCACCACATCAGTAAAGATCAGATAAGAATTAACGTCATGCAGTTGTTCAGTCTGTGATGCACAGATCAAAGGTTGTATCTGAGGGAAGAGAAGCTATTTCCATGCATTAACTGGATCCCTTTTGTGCTAAGAGCCATGTGGAAGCAGGGCAGAAATATTGTGCCTACCCTAGGATTCTTTGTGCGTTTGTGGAGCTCTATGCTGATCATGAGGTCCCAGCTATGTCATGCCATTTCCAGTACAACTCTCACTTTGTGTCTCTCTAGTCTGCAGATGATAACCTCTGAGCTACCACACTCAGAAGTTGCTTGTTACTCATTTAAGAATAAAATACCCGTGGGGAGGGAAGGGAGGAGGAATCTCTGCAAAGATGCAAAGACCTTCCATTTGATAGCAAGGAAGTAGTGTGGTGTCTCATTCCATTGCCTGCAATGTACCAGTTTAAGCATGTCTAACTTGAATAGTGGAGAGAATTTTATAATCCCCTTCTTGCCTTAGGGCCTTCCAAACGAGTAAAGTCATTGTTAACACAGGTGTTTCATCCACCCTGTGTTCCAACCCTTCCACCCTCTGCTCCAGCACTGATTATGGGTTTCTTGCAGAGGTCTGAGCTTTGCTGTGTTTGGATAATAACAGTAAAAAGAGGCCAGAGCCTTTTTAAGCACAGTACAGCCTAACAGACAGCTGTGCCTTTCTTCACAGGGTTTATGATTCATAAACTTTTTTTTTTATTTACTTTGTTAGAAACTTCATAGATTTTAGAACATCCAGTTCATCCAGTGTTCATCCAGTTTGATTATCTGTCTTGACCTCTTCAGAGTAAAGACTGCAGGATATGTGTACTTAATTTTCTTAAAGTCTTTTTTTCTTTTAGTTTTTCTTTTTGGGGGGAAGCTTTTCATGGCAGAAGCAAAAGTCTCTTCCAGTTATTCCCCATGCAAAAGAGAGTATTTATTTGTTTTAGGAAGAGCATTCAGTAGTAAGTACTTTCTGTGTCAGCACCGTGCTTATACAATTTGAGTAGTGTTTGGTCTTACTGAGTTAGAACACCAAGGGAATAGTGCATGCTGCTAAGAAATCTTATCTTTATACTACATATATAATTTGATGGATATAGCATATCTAATAAAGACAGCATACAAAGTAAAACACTTATTTCTTTTAAAATAAAGCATCATAAACCTTAACTACATGACTGGCATGTCTGCTTTTTTAAATAATAAAATTCACTCAGGCAGTCTGGGTTTGATTAGAGTGAAGTTCTGTGAAGCCCAGCTGTCTTTTGGGTAAAAAATAATTAGGAAAATAAAAGATAAAAGGACAGATGTTGCTAGAAAATGTTCTTCATCTTAACTCTGTTGGTAAAATATCTTTCAAATACACAGAAGAACAGATTGGTGCCCAGTTCATGTTTGCTTCCCAAATTCTCCAGCTGCCTCAGTGAGCCTTCCACTGATGTTTCGAAATGACTGATGCTAAATACATCATGAAAGATAAGTCTGAAAGGGATTAACCAGATTTTGCTCTTTATGTTACATGAGCAAGTGCTGTAATCTTGGTAAAGTAAGAAAAATTGCTAGTAGGAGAGGCAAAAGGTAACACACAGATTTGCTGAAATTCCTCATGACAGCTGCTTGGATATTGTTTTTGCTGACTCAGGTTTTATGTAGGGTAATTTAATGTTTGTTAAATAAACACCATCTTTGTGTAACATCATTTGATAATGTTACATGTGGAACAATTAACCATTATATTGCTCAGAAACAGGAGCCAGTTTGACACTCAGAAATTATGGCTTAAAAAAAAAACCCAACAACAATAAGAAAAACCCACAGAAAACTGACTGGTTGACACTTGCTTTCAGAGTTACCTTTTTTTTTTTTTTTGGTATCCTTTCTATTAGGAATGCAGTAACCAGGTCTGGTTTCATGTCATATAACTGTAGATGGTTTCCACGTAGACATTTCTTTGCTTATTTCCTACAACGAAGAACCATTTGATATTTATAGATCATTGTGCCTTTGGGGAGTTTACCTGTCAAGTGTTAAAATGTGCCCTGAATTTTATCTGATGTATTTTACACATGCTTCATAGAGGAACTGAATTTCCTAATTGTGACAAGGTAAGCACATGAGTATAGTACTCCAACTGTTCCATCGCAATGAATGCTCATTTCAAAGCGTTTCCCAGGGTTATGGCACAATACAATTATAACATCAAAGAACAGGAAAATAAAAAACATTTCCTATGGGACTGAACTGGGCTGCTTAAGTAGTTTTAACGTTAAATGTGTCAAAAATGTTGTGTAGATCATTTCCTTTCTGAATGCTTACACTGTCATATTGTTTGGGTTTTATGTTTTTGATGTTCACATCTGTATTGTAAGAAGATATACATAAGTCTTAGCAAAGACACCATTCTGTGTGTAAGTTCACATGTTTTAAACAGTGCTTAAAGGAAGATTGTTCGATAGAGAAGAATTTTAGATACTGCATAAAAAAGCAGAAATTTATTAAGTGTGCAGTGGTATTGAGATGAAACTACCTATTGTTAGTTGTTTTAGAAAGTTTGAAGAAAACATGGGTATAATTAAACATTTGAATATCCATAATGAAAAGCTTTTGTGGCATTGAAAATTAATCCAGTTTGTGTTAGGTTATAGAAATAATACAGAAGAAGAGAAACTTATCATGGTTGATGAGAAACTTAACATGAGCTGCAGTGTGCACTTGCCACTTTCTGCCAACCGTATCCTGGGCTGCATCAAAAGGAGCGTGACCAGCAGGTCGAAGGAGATGATCCTGCCCCTCTACTCTGCTCTCGTGAGACCTCACCTGGAGTATTGTGTGCAGTTCTGATGTCCTCAACATAAAAAGGACATGGAACTGTTGGAACAAGTCCAGAGGAGGGCCACGAGGATGATGAGGGGACTGGAGCACCTCCTGTATAAAGACAGGCTGAGAAAGTTGTGGCTGTTCAGCCTGGAGAAGAGAAGGCTGCGTGGAGACCTCATAGCAGCCTTCCAGTATCTGAACGGGGGCTACAAGGATGCTAGGGAGGGACTCTTCATTACGGGCTGGGACAGGGACTGATAGGACAGGGGATGACAGGTTCAAACTTGAACAGGGCAAGTTTATAGATTGGATATAAGGAGGAAGTTCTTTCTTGTGAAGATGGTGAGGCACTGGAATGGGTTGCCCAAGGAAGTTGTGAATGCTCCATCCCTGACGGTGTTCAAGGCCAGGTTGGACAGAGCCTTGGGTGACATGGTTTAGTGTGAGGTGTCCCTGCCCATGGCAAGGGGTTGGAACTAGGCGATCTTAAGGTCCTTTCCAACCCTAACCATTCTAAGACAGCTGCAAAGTGAGCTTCTTCCTAAAATTCCTTCATACATAAAAGCCTCATACTGTCTTCTTAGAGAAATACTAGTTGCATAACAGTCTTTATGTTTCTTGTTTGTTCCTTCTTAGAAAAATAGGTAATTATTCTTAAAATCATTCTAGCTGATCGCCTTCTACTGAGGTTCTAAAGATTTTGCTATAAATATCAATCTCTATTATTATTGAATTTTGCTTCATGGCATTCTGAACAATTCATTATTGCTTTCTGAGGAGGGAAGGGGAAGTGTTAAGTAAAGCAAAGTAAAATTTAAAAGACATTAGGTGTCACTTAAACTTGTGAAACAACATTCCAGTCTTTGCTTTAACCTTGAAAGAAAGCTCACTACTAAGTAAATACCAGCCAGCAGATTTACTGTAGTTGAACTTCTGTCACATGTGGAAAACTTTTTGAACCTTAAGCTTAACATACATACAGAATTCTTTCTGGTAAGTTTAATATACATGCAGCCTTATTAACATCAGTGTTTCATTCAGAAGCAAATTAAAGATTAAATCATTAATAAACAGAGGTGGGAGGGAGGGCATTTTCCCACGGAATTCCTTCTTGTCAGAAAAGCTTACTTTTCTGGAAGGTTGTTTGCTTCAAATGGAAAGCTAATCTTGATCCAGGATTTCATCACATTTTAAAATACTGTAAGTTTGGCATGATTCTATGGAATTGGAGAGTGTTACAGGACCCTTCTTCTAAAAGTTATTAAATATTATCCAGATTTTCTTTACTACTTTTCCTTTGAACCACTCTTGACCTTGAGCCTTAGAAATCTGAAGTTAGGTCTTTCCAAATGAAATGCATAGGGGAAGAGTCTGTATGCAAGCCTGGATAGCCATGCAGTGGCATTTTCATTGTTACTCTGCCATTCTCTTTAGCCATGATAAATACTATTTTATTCAGTGAGTATGCAGTTTATTTTTTTAAGTATATTTTTCTGTGTGATATCACAAATAAAAATTTCCCAGGTACGTCCACCCATACTACTCACCCAACCAGCACCAGTCAGCCTGTCAACACCACTGTGTCTGTCATCTTGACGACTCAACCCACCAAAACCAGCCAGACAACAAGATTCACCACAGCTCCATCAGTCACATCATCACAACCGAATATTACAGTGGTGACCACTTCCAAGATTTCTTTCACTTCTGTAACAGGTGAGTTCACATTTCAAGATGCTCATAAAGGTTTGTGTACGTGTTGGCACACGTTATACATGAGTTTTTTAGAGTTGGTAATTTTATGAAAGAAGGCATTTGCATGCTGAAAAATGAGAGTAAGGTGGGGTTCTGTTAACTGAGTTGGCTACAATGATGTTGCTCTGAGCAATCCACTTACTTAAATAAGGCTTCGCTTAATCTGAGAGACCTGATACATTTAGGAAATAAAATGCAAGTGGTTTGAACCAGCAGCTACCAGCAAGGAGATTAGCAGTATTAGGAGAAAGCCTGGCTTTTAAATACAACTTCTGGATTTGTTCAGCTCTCCCTTCTGCAGCTTACTTGAACCCGTCTCTTAATACTTCCTTTTTCACAGCTGATAAGTGGCTCGAAATATGCCTGCTGCCTTGATAGAAAGACTGAGTTTTGTTAGTAGTGTACTGAATTTTATCCCTAACAGAGGATAGGGTATGACTATGAATGAATCTCTCTTAATGCAAAAGTTGTCAATACAGTTTCACAGTACTCAAAACCAGGTGTAGAATTCGGTATTTCCTTATGGTTAGTTCGCACCACTTCATGCTTACTCTTCCAAACAGGTTAGGGTGACTGACATGTCAGCAAAGTGTTGTCAGGTAGGTAAAGCTGTCATCAGCAGAACTTCTCGTTAGCCACGTAACACTCCCTGTAGCAGATACAACTAGAGACAGGCACAGACCAGGTCTTTTCATGGGAGTTTGTAGCAGATAAAAACAGTTTTCACACCAAAACTGCTACAGCTTACCTCAGGTCACATTATCTCTGTCAATATTTGTGTTGGCCTGCAGAGCTGATCTCACTTGGAGAGTGAGAGTACAGTTCCATGAGACAAAGTAAAGCAATCCAACGGCTCATTGCCACCAAAAGTATTTTACTCCCATCACATAACTACACTGGCTGACTTGGTGGTTGTTGGATCACTCTGCAGGCTGATGCATTATGCTCGTCTGATTTAAAGCAACTTCCTTTTCTTCTTTAGTTTCATTTCTGGCATGAATTTCAGGCCAGCTCGGTGAGTTAAATTGGCTCATTGAAGGGTGTATGAAAAACACCAGAACAGGCCTAAGAAGGGCAGGAGCTGCATGTGTGGAAAGAGGGGAGAGTAGGGGAGAAAATAGAAGGGGAAAGAGGGAAGCGGAGAGAAGTTACAGTCAGTCTTTCAAAGACAGCAAGCAGTTGAATCCTGTGTAACCAGAATCTGGCTCTTAAAAATGGAGTTCTAGGTTTCCGTGTGCTTGGCTGGTGTCCTGCCAGTTGATGTAAGTTAAAGTTGCCTGACTGGGTCTTTAGATGATATATCAGTGGGGTGGGCACGATATAAACAAGTCCCACAAAACACAGTTTTGCAAGCTCTGTAAAAAGTGCCTTTTGTTATCTTTTTTTCAGGCACATCAAAATCTAAGGCTGTCATAGCCAAAACCTCCAGATTTGATGTGGGCAGTTTTGTAGGTGGCATTCTGCTGACGCTTGGAGTCTTAGTTATTCTCTACATTGGATGCAAAACCTATCACTCTAGAAGAGGCATTCAGTACAGAACCATGTAAGTTCCCAGGGGACTGTCCTTGTTAATGTATTACTTTCTTGAGAAGACACAGACAAACTAAACAAGGAGAATGAACTGTTGCACACGTTGGTTTAATGTACATTATATTATCATCATTAAGAGGTTTAACTGTGATATTTTGTCTTTCACCACATCAGCTATTCCTTATTATTATGCCTCTCCTCTGTGAGAGAGCTTTGTCTTGTACCTCACCCCTTTTGTAGTGAATAGCTCAATCAAAATTGTACCATCTCATTTGCCATTTATACTCAGCTCTACATAGTTTTCTTCCAGGCTTCTAGACTTGCCTCCTTGTCTAATAATTACTTTAAGAACTGTGAATTCTGAAAAACAGGTTGCTTTTCTTTTTCCTATTGAGTATCCTCCGTCTCGGTTGAGAAGCTTGTTTTAAGTGAGGTGATGTCATTAGACTTGTTGGGATGTTACTGTTTAGGCCTCATGTTTTCTCTCTATCTTGAATTTTGCTTGGTGGTCATGGAATTTAACCAGTCCCTACTGCACATTTTCCCATGTTGGTGTTTGAATGGATATTACAGAATTTATATCAACAGTATCTAAAACAAAGGAAATCTGTCGCTGAGCTTTTAAACTGGCTTTGATTGCCTGTCACTACTGCATGTGGGTAAGATAGGATAAAAATGGCACTGCAACAGCTGATGTAAAAATATATACTTGAGTGAAAGCCAAAATGAAGCTAGTGAAGCTGGAGGAGTGTTGGCAAAATGCAATTGTTCTGTTAACTTCAGATTTGGCTCAGAGAGGACTGTAACTCCCAGAGCAATGTGCCCTTAGTCCTTCCAGCAAGATGTTCTCTGTTCACAAAATAACCTCCTCAGTTAGCAGCAGCTGGGTGGCTCTTTCTCATTGACAGTTGCTTGTACTGCAGAACATTAATTACTGTGTTTCTATTACAGTGATGAACATGATGCCATCATTTAAAGAGACTTCAGGGAAGAAGAAACCCATTCTGTCACAGCTGTTTAACTTGCTTCTGGAAGAGTATCTTTCATAAAGATGATACCAGTCTCTAGACCTGCCTTCAGTGTGATCCTGCAAAATGTTGAAAAGCTCTTTAAACATCCTGATTTTTTTTTGCATTGGCTTTCATAAGGAGAAGAGGAACTCAGTGCTCTGTAGAGACAGTATTTTCTTTTTCCAGTATTTGTAACCAGATGTAAAGAAATGCACATCTTGAGTCATTTTCAGGTACACACACAAGTCTAAAATAGCACAGTGGATCGCAGCCTTGCAATTAAGTTTAGTTATTTCTCACATACTTTATAAATCCAGTGTGTTCTATAATGGATATAGTAGATCTAATTAGGATACATTTGAGAGTAGGCATAGGTTTTTTGCAAGTAAAATGGAGTATTTTTTTTCCTAAGATTTTGTATTAAACTTATTTATTTTGAAGTTTGATGCAAACTATAGTTTAGAAATTTTGGATTTTGAACAACTCGGTTAATTTTTATTGCGCTATAAGGGGATGTGGTTTGCTGACTCTGTAGAAGGTAATAATGGGTAAAAGGCCTTAAGCTGCACCAGGGGAGGTTTAGATTGAATTTTATAAAAAACTTCTTCACCCCATCCGGAGGTTGTCAAACACTGGATTAGACTGCCCGGGGGAGTGGTGGAGTCACTGTTCCTGGAGGTTAAAAGATGTGTAGATGCAGCACGGGGACATGGTTTAGTGGCATGGTAGACTTGGCAGCACTGAATTAACAGTGGGACTTTATCTTTCTTAAGGGTCTTTTCCGACCTAAATGAGTCTGATGTGTACTTATAACTTCAGTTATTATCTCACCAGTGACCTGCAAAGACTTTCCTGAGCCTAGCTGCAGGAAGCGTGGACAGGCTGGAGATACCCCTCCATCAACCCTTTCCTCCAAATGGGTGCTTACAAGAAAACAGCCTATATGATCCGTAGCTTCTTCCTTATAGCATGTTGTACTAATGAAGCATGTGCAATTGAAAGTAAAGTAAAAATGGGAAAATCTAATTGCACCTTCATAAATATGAAAAAATATGAAAACGGCTTCTGAAAATTGGCTTTAAGTTGAATGTAGCAGTCCCTTGAATCTGTATGTAATGTTTTAGCAGCATTTGATAAGCACTGGAAGTTACAAAGAGAAGTGGAAAATGTGTAAGATAGCATTTTAGAAGAATATAATTTGCATTTTTACAACTATTTTCAGAACTTGGTACTGTTGCACACGTGTACAGAGGCCTGGTCAAAAGGCCACTGAAGGCAATGGGCCATGTCTTAGAAGGCCTTTAGATTAAGGCCCAAATACACTGGGGGTCCTATGGAAGATGGCTGATGCTGCTTCTGTATCAATTCTGCACTGAGGTTAACTGAGGTAAACCTGCTGGCTTCAGTAGATGGGCTCCTGATTTACACTGGTGTAAGGACAACTAGAGCAAGAAACACTGAATAATCATTCAGTCCACTGAGTTAGTGTGGGACTTGACCATCCTGGTTACTGCTGGCACTATCCATCATGCATGGCCCAGTGGGGAGGTAGGCACAGCTAAGGAAGGTCACAACAGGAACTGCATGTACCCCTGTCAGGGAAATGGGATACAACTCATCAGGGAAAATAAGACTACAGCTCTGACACAGGTTAACTTTTTTGTTGAGCAATAGTTTATTCTGAGATGCAATGTTAAAGTGGCTGTATTTTTCCAAGTAGTAAAACTGTTGAGTCCACGGCACAGTTGACTCCAGCAAACCATGGCTAATGAGTAACCTTAATAGCACCAGCTAGGCACCTGATGTGGGCATAGCAGGTCTGGTTTGGTTTTTACTGAGGTCAAGATCCAGGGCGAAGAGTAATTTGCAGTAACTTTTTATGATTTCTTCTAATTGCATTGTTTAGTGGAAAACCTGGGTTTGACTTGAAGAGTTTGTAAACAATTCTTCACTAGAACTGTAGATCCTTTATAAAAATTAAGAAAAGTAAGTGCAGCTCAGTTACTGGGATTACCTCTATTGTACAGATGAGTAAATAAAATTTAATCTTTGGAGTTACTATATCAAGTTTAGTTGGATTTTTATTTTAGTGGATGGTTTCATAATTCCCTCAACCTTTTCCAGTCATAACTACTGATTAAGAAGTACTCACTTGCATATAACTTTAAAATCTCAGAATAGCAGCTCAAAGGCATTTTTGCCCATCTCACTCATTTGTAATGTATTTTGCAATCGCGTTGCTATAGTAAAGCAAAATTATGTGCTTAAGACTACAGATATGTCAGTGCAAAGGTAGAACCTGGCCTCCTTCAGGTGTTTGGGTACTAGACAAAGTAAAAGTGAGGTGCAACTGATAAATGTAAAATTAAAGGTGAGATTTGCTTCCCAATAGTAAGTGAAAACCCAGGTTTGTTACTGTCCTGGGTTCAGCAGTAGCAGTCATTTTTCTCCTTAGTAGCTGGTGCAGTGCTGTGTTTTTGACTTTCAGCCTGGGAACAGCACTGGTAACACCGATGTTTTTAGTTACTGCTCAGTAATGTTTACTCTGACCAAGGACTTTCTGAGCCTCATGCTCTGCCAGGGAGGGGGGGAAGCCTGGAGGAAGCAGAGACAGGACACCTGACCCAAACTGACCAAAGAGGTATTGTGTACCACAGCATGTCATGCCCAGTATATAAACTGGGGCCAGTTACCCAGAAGGGTGAGATCACTGCTAGGGTAGGGCTGGGGATCAGTCAGTGGGTGGTGAGCGGTTGCATTCTCTTCCCTTGTTATTTCCCTTATCATTATTATTATTGGTGGTAGCAGCAGTGATTTGTGTTATACCTTGTTTACTGGACTGCTCTTATCTCAACCCGTGGGAGTTACATTCTTTCCATTCTCTTCCCCATCCCTCCGGAAGGGGGGGAGAGTGAGAGAGCAGCTGCGTGGCTGACTGAGTTTAAACCACAGGTGTAAAGTGGGAGGAACAGGACAAAAACCCCACCTGCAATACTGTGTTCAGCTGTATGGCCAGCAACACAAGAAGGATGTAGAGCTGCTGGAGCAAGTCAAGAGGAGGCCACAAAGATGCTCCAAAAGCTGGAAGATAGGCTATGCTCTGCTATGAAGAGGCTGAGAAGGCTGGGGATTGTTCAGCCCAGAGAAGAGAAGGCTCATGGAGACCTTAGAGCAGCTTGCAGAACCTAAAAGGGAACTACAAGAAATCAGGGGCATAGAATGAAAAGGAAGGATGGATTTAATCTGAAAGAGGGTAGATTCAGATTAGATACTAGGAAGCTCTTTCCTGTTAGGGTGGTGAGGCACTGGCACAGGTTGCCCAGAGAAGTTGTGGCTGCCCCATCCCTGGCAGTGTTCAAAGCCAGGTTGGATGGGACTTTGAGCAACCTGGTCTAATAGAAGGTGTCCTTGTCCATGACAAGGGTTGGAACTGGATGATGTTTAAGGTCTCTTCCAACCAAAACCATTCTGTGATTCTATGACAGCCTTTCAATGTATCATACCACCAATTAAGTACAGGTTTAGGCCTCAGTCCTTAATGTCACTCTACAACACTGGAAGAAGCAGTGGACCTGAATTTAGCTATGCTTTACACAGGTAAAGGGGTTGACTGTATCAGTAATTTAACTGATTTAGCCTCATAATCAAAAGATTATGTTAAATAAAGACTGGTACTTAGGTTCTGTAAGGAAAACATACCTGAAAGGGTTTGCCACAGGAATCTACCAAATTGTAGACCAATATGAAGTATAAAGCTGAAGTAGGAACAAAAGACAGAGAAGAGGTCTTTTGGCTCAGACTTAAGTCCAGCACTAGCCCAGATAAGTGGGGAATAGAAAATATAATAGTTTGAAGGGATCTACAATGATTATCTAGTCCAGCTGCCTGATCACTTCAGGGCTGGCCAAATTAAAGCACATAAGGGCATTGTCCAAATGCCTCGTAAACACTGACAGGCTTGGGGCATTTACGTGTTCCAGTGTTTAAGTATCCTCTCAGTAAAGAAATGTTTTCCAAGTACAATCCTTCCTCGCAGAAGTATCTTCCCATTCACTTCTCTGGTGATAAATTATTCTAAATTCAATCACAAGTTTATGATTTGTATTCATTTTATGCCACAATATTCTAGCATAAGTAGCTCCTCCCCTTCTCTAGGTATACTTACTGTACAGTCAGTCTTTTCAGCTGTTCCTTAGCTGAGTTTAATAATATTGTAAAGTTGATTCAACAGTTTGTAGTTTATCCTCTTGGCAGGACTGTGTATCTGTTGCCAGTACTGATGGCTGAGCCATGTAGTTCATAGTTCTGTCTTGATTAGGAGCCCCTCTGGTGACATAATAGAGAATTACATTTACAGTATCATGTTTTAAGCCCATCACCAGCATTCATCACCAGTCATAGTTGATCACTACATCTCAGTCACACAATTCCTATATCCATTCTTAGTCCAAACATTCATGGGTTTGCGCTTCATATCAGAATTTATTTTAGTTAATACTACAGGCTTGGGAAGTCATCTGGTGGCTACAGAACATAGCTGCCTTGAGTCAGGTATCATGAACATTGCTTTTGCCCTTCAGACACCTCAAAATCAACCATATGACCACATCTCAGGACTGCAGCATCCTGCCTTCCTCCCACAGTGCTTTCCTTTTTCGGCAGCTCTCCTTCAGCCTGTGTTCCACTACCAAACCATAGCCCTTCCACTGTAATTGCTTTGATGGGGCCCTGCATTTAAAGGCTTCAAAGCAGTCCAGAAATGCCGCAGTGATAGATTTGGGGGTTTAATTTAATTAAAAATATATAGAGAGAGATATTAAAGCATGTTAATGTGTTAATATTCAGTAACTTAAACATTAATTCTTTGTAAATCTACTTTCATACCTTTCCTTTTTATTCAGAGACTGTTAACACTCTTACATACACCACTCTGGTTTTGCCCTGAGGACATACACAGCATTCTTAACGTGCTTTATTGAAAAACATATAAGCAACAGAATGACAATATTGCCAAAAGCAAAGTGGAAGAGCACCAGAAAATTGCCTGCATAACTCAAGAGGTTAAGAATTTAGCTGTGATATGGAAGCAGACAATGAGAATGGATCTGTGCAGGATGTAAATATGCTCTCTGGGCACCACTGAAGGAGTCCCAGTTGGTGTATGACCAAGATAAGTCTTGAAACCCAGGAAAGTTAAATGACCTTAGGAATCTGCATTTGACAGTTCTCACAAACAGCATAGCCACAGGGACTGCCAGTTCCTGGTGTTGATCCTGCAGTATCTAAGCTTCAGCTTGTGTTAGAATTTTGTGTTCGCTTAGCTATTGAAACACTACTTTGAAGATTGGATCAATGATTAATTTTATCCTTCAGTGTCAGGTCACCCCTACACTTCAGAACATCCAATTGAGGAGCTCCAAAAATTGAAAGTACACAAGTGACCCCA